AATGTTAATAATAGTTATAGGTAACGGTAAATTTAGCCCTAATGAATAATATATATATATATATATATATATATATATATATATATATATATATATATATATATATATATATATATTTGTGTGTATGTGTCTATGTATGTGTCTATGTATGTGGGGGTGTGTGTGTGTGTGTGTATGTATATATATATATATATATATATATATATATATATATATATATATACGGTTTTTAAATTAATCATTGTTTGAGAAAGACGGATGTTAGGCACTTTTAAATGTTAAAATCGCGTCGCAAAAGATATTTTCAAATAAAAAATGAAATCAAATTCATTTCAAATCTCCTTACAATGTTTACGCAAAATTTAAAGAAAAAAATTAACCCGATAAACAGAAAAATATCAATAAAATAATAATGGGAACTTTAAGTTATTTTCAATAAAATATCACTGTAGATCTTATGTGTGTGAGATGTGAAATCATTTTCTGAAAACATCACGTACAACATCTGAATAATTAATGAACTACATATCGCTAGCCAAATCTGAACCAATACTTAGATTTCGGGCGAAAAATTACATAAAGTAGTTTAAACAAATGACCTTAAAAATTGACATTGGTTTAAAGAAAAATTTAAAAAAAAATTTACTCTTCCAGCGTTACACTAGAATATACATTACGAATATCACATGGCTAATGTTTGATTAATCAAAGATGTTTAATATAAAATTTATTTTCTTTTGCTTTTCATAAAAAAATTATCTTTAGTTCTTAGAATATGGTTTGATTGTTTGAATCATATTAATTCCTAAATAATATCCGTTTGTCTTAAAAATAATATTCATTTAAATTTTATTCACCATAAATTGCAAGAGCTTGTTGCCACTTATGAAGCAACACTTCCATATGAATGAGTATTTAGTGTTTCACCGCGTTTTAAAAGCTCTAAATGAATAATAACCCAATGATGTCACCTTGTGCACAACATTACCTTCCTTCCATGGAAATCAGCTTTTGGGGTTCGATTATGGAGGTTTATCCTTGTTGGGCATTTGCTTTAAACATTGTCATATACTTGTATGCTCCAAATGTATTCAACATTGCCGTGTATGAATAGCCATTCTTCATTATAATTTCTTCCTAAAAACGGAAATTGCTTATGACTCAAACTAATTAAATATTGTTGGATATCCAACGCTCAAATTTAGAAGAATGCCATGCCTTCTCAGATGCTTTATGATCTAGTAAAATATTTAAAATGTCTAATATTCTTTTAAATCTCAAATTACTATGATAGTTTTTCTTGCTTTGAATTTTCGGTTATTCATAACCATTTTTATAAACATTCTGATCAGTTGTAAAAATTATCCTATTTCCTCGTTTTACTAAATCAACACTGTTAAATTTGTTCTCTTTTTGCCAGGCCTTTTGTTACTATGATTACTGTTCTAAAAACGACACTATTCCATGGAAGAAAAGAGAACCTTAATAAAGATAAATAATATCAGAAATAACACTGATTCCCATTTCTTTTTACGCATTGTTATTAATATAACACTCTCCCATCGATCAACAACGTTTCTCTTTTTGTCATTACTTAGTTTGTGGAATTTGCTATCATTTATATTATTTCGATTTTTGAAAAAAATTAATGGAAGTATTTGTCTGTTGTTTTGTTCATTCCGTGTTCATTGGTTCGTTACTGAGTTATCCACCCACGTCAGCCATATGTGATATTGATCACAATAGTAGAATCTGTGACAGGCGTATGAATGAAGGTAGGTAGGAGGGTTGGTTAGAAGTGACCAAGACGAGATTCAAGGGAAGAGGGATGGATGATAGAAAATATATTTCATTGAATGAATGAAGCATCATTAAGTGTTAGGTTCATAAGAAAAAAAAACTTAAATAAGTGTTCTTAAGTTCAGAATTGTGTGTTCGTAGGACGAGGCAAAGGCATTCATGCGAACATATGTGAGAAAATGTATGCAGTCCTATCTGTTAGTATAGGCGTTTGTCTCTGCATATACAAGACTACCTTCAACATATGCCTCTATGTACAGACACAATGGCGCGCAAACACACATACACACACACACACACACACACACATATATATATATATATATATATTACTTTGATGAAAAATTTTCGATTTTTTAATAAAATCATTTATTTCTATAAAGACATATTGATATTCTTCAGTCATGATAGTATTTTTGTTTTCTCTGTTCTTCCACCATGTTTAAGGTTAACTATGTATTCTGCAATAAAAGAATGACTAGTTTTTATTCTATCAATTCTTAATTTCAATAATTTAACTTGTGACATTCATAGATTTTGCAAAGTGTAGACAGTCTTAATGAGGCAGCAACATTTCTGATATGCATCCCTGTCGTAAAAACGGTATTTTCCTATGTAATATGTCCTTCAAACGAGCTAATTACTCACTGTAGCAAACTATACACATAATCTGATTTTTTTCGTTCAACCAATCCATGAAATAGAAAATCGATGTATAACACAGTATGTTATCGCCAGGTAGACATTATTTAGGTGGAAATACCGAGCGCTTTTCTGGTTCTCTTCGATATTTCTACATTCTAAATTCTCCTAATCAGACTATTTTCCATTGCTTATCAAGATCTTAAACAATAGTCATTTTTCCGTAAAAGCTAATAACCCTCACCTTATTAAGAATAAACTTGCTTCAATTTGTTGTAGCAGACCTACGGACGATGATGGGTATCCAGCTGTGTTGGACTAATTCTCTGCCTCTGTGCAGAGAGAATCCCCATGCGAGTCTATGTCGAAGGCAATGTCTCATCTTGGGAAACAGCTACCCGACCCCGTTTTATACGGGGTCTTCGGAGAATTTTGGGCCGAGCCTACGGGCTCGGATACGCCACATTAAATTCGGACTTGTGCCACATCTGACAGCGTGGGGTGGTTGATAATTCTCCTGCAGTTGGAGATTCATTATGGAATTCACTTGACTCACTTCTAGCAGCTGGCGAATATTATGTGTTGTTCTTGTTCTAAGTATTATCGTCATTACCAACCATCGTGTGATTTTTCTAATCCGTAATCTTCCCTAGGTTACAACACTCTCAGAGATAACTAATAAAATATTGAGTTCTATTATCACTGATGCTTTATAATTAGTAAATATCAACTGCATTTTCAAAATGTCGTTGAAAGAGGCTTTCAACCTGCCCTAAAATAACTTCAACGAATATTGCTTGGGCATTTTTGAAAAACATGAAAATTTCTGCTACGTGAGATCGAGTTTCATGTAACAAAAAATATTTTCAGTATATTTAATTGTTTATGCAGTTTCGATATCTGCTACTAGTAGTGGTATATGCATATTTATTATGGATCGATGCAAATACAATTTAGTAACATATAAGTAAGAAGTAATATTCAAAGTACTGAGATAGAAAATAATCATTCTAAATCTACCTTTTCATTGTGAACGAGAATTCAGATAGAGTTGGGAAATATGCAGAAATGTTCAATAGATTTGCGTTTCATCAATATAAATTTCATCACGCTTACATGGGATATAGCCAAGCCAATATAAATATTGTCACATTTAAATTATGTACGCATGCGCGCACACACACACACACACACACACACACACACATATATATATATATATATATATATATATATATATATATATATATATATATGAGTGAAAAGAGAAGAGGAAAAAATTATTCGTAGCTAACGCGTTTCGCCCACTGAGTGTGGATTTAATTTGCTGCACGTGTTTATATAAAGGCGAGGATGTCATTAGTTTATCAAGGTTTTAAATTTGAAATCGTCTATGAATGTTCGTCAGGTGCGTGAAAAGTTAGTCAAAGTATGTGAAGGGCAAAAAATGTGTCATAATTCAGATTAATATTTAAGCTTATCTTAACGACAACGACAATTCTTCTGCCATCATTAATTTCAAGACGATTTGATGTACGTAGGTCTTTACTTTCTGTACAAACAATTATTTTTATTTCATGTGTGTCTTTCTCTGCTTTTGCAATTAATTTCGATTTTTCTTAAATTTATTTTTAAGTCATAAAATTGTTATCGTACAAATAATTCGTCGCAATAAATCACGTAAAAAAAATCATCAAAAACCATCGCAGTAATGAAAATTGGGAATCCAAAATATTAAGATTGCAGATCCGCATCCAGCCCGGAATGTTTTTAATTTTACACACAGGGTCGGCCTGATTCCAAAATGGTATGATATGTTCGGCTACGGCCTCTAGGAGTACAATCCGAAAAAGGTTTTACACTGACACACTGACATTCGCCTTTATTATTTAGATTATTCATTTTTCAGTTATTGATTATACCTGTGAGGCTAGAGGTAATTTGGACGGTTTTAAATCGTACATTATTTGAGTTTTATCATCAATTATTTGAATAGATGGGTTTGTGGATATACATAATTATGTTTAATAGACAAAAAATAGACAGAAGAATATTTTTCTCATTTAATAATGAATCAAATCATTGATGATAAACTCAAAGAAATCTGAATCAAACGAAAACTTTTTCCACAGTAAAATATTAGTACAAGAGTTCAGTAATCAGGAACCAGTGAACATACCAGTATTTCATATGCAGCAGAAGAAACTTCAAAGACTGGTTATTTCATAAATGAAGAGCAACACACACACACACACACATATATATATATATATATATATATATATATATATATATATATATATATATATATATATATATTTAGGAATAAAGAATTGTCTTTTTAAATCGAAAGAATACATCTGTCAGTGCATAAATTAGAGAAGTCCATACATTGTTCTGTTTTTGCTCAAGTACATTTGGTCAATGCAGACATTATAGAGAACTATAATGTCGGCTATATCCTGGTAATTTAGGAACGCTAGAATTTAATTCTTGTAAAAATGTAATGGTATCATATGTAAAATATAACCAGTATATAGGCACATAGATGAGTCAACTTAGATAGATAGATAGATAGATAGATAGATAGATAGATAGATAGATAGATAGATAGATAATAAACAGGCCGTAATAGATATATAGATATAAAATATGGGATTGACAGATTGGTAATTATGTATGAATATATAGAGAAACTTCTCATCCATATAATTATTAACATCTGTGAGGTGTGTTAGAGACTATGTTACATATTCAGGTAAGTAAATTAATAGGTAGATAGATAGAGAGAGACGCGTAGTAATTTTTGACTCTTGCATGCAGCCAAAATAACAATTTGAATTGTTATGTATACAGGTCGATAGAAACGCCTACTGGGACGGTGAAATCAGTTTTACAGCTGAATATTTCTATGATTATTTCTTTTAAAAGATGCAAAGCTAGAAACTGTGAATCTCAGGAGAAACTTTCAAATGTCCCGGAATATTGGGTATTGATGATTTATTGTTCATATTACAGTATTTCTTAGTGACACAGCTTATTGTAACCTATCTGACGGCGCAAATGGAGTTGGGCAGGTCATTGTTTCCGTGAATTATGAATGTGTCTTAGGTGAATACACACAATACAACGTAATATACAACAATAAAAATTATATATATATATATATATATATATATATATATATATATATATATATATATATATATATATATATGAAACTACTTAAATATGATCACGCTGGTGTCAATAGAGTAATATGTAATATAAGATTGAGATTGAAACAACTATGCATGAGAAGATTTGAACAGAAGATCAATCGATCGATCAACATATTGATAGATATAAACAAAGTGGAGTCGTGAAATAGACTGAAACATAAAGATATGAACAGTGTTATGTAAAGTGATATTCAAAGAAATTGGAAATGAAGTATGGAATTTTAAAAAGTGAATAGGAAAAAAGAAAAGAAATATTTTGTAGTATTTAAAAACATACAAGTTTAACAAAGAAGGTAAACGTATTTTCATAAAGATAATGAGAAAGCGAGACATACGCCACGTTTTCAGAAGAAGGAATAGATTAAAATTAAAGCATCAAATTATGAGAAACTGTCAAAGAAATACGGAAGGGAAAACTGATTGCATGAACGTTATATGACGCCTACGTGACAAAATATAAATCTAGGCAAAAAAAGTAAAAATCTCGATGGAAGAAAGTAATACGAAACCTGAGTAAAAGAAAACAAGGATACATCTGTCAAAGAAAGGGAATTGGAGGAAGGAATAGTTGAATAGAAACAAGAAATCTGGTCTGGGTGAAAAGAAGAAAAATTCTTAAGAGAATGAAAATAAAATTAGTGCAGGGAAATGCAAGAATCTTTTTTGACAAAAGTAAAAGTAAGAAAGAGTACTTAAATGAATGGTAAAGGAATAACCAATATAATGTAGTAAAATGAATCAGAAAGAGCTACAAAATGTTAGAAAAAAGTAAATTCTTTTAATCGCTTGTAAAAGAAATGTTATCCCAAAGATCTCAAAAAGTCAAATGAAACTAAAAATTGCGAATTCCTAAAATCAAAAGTATATTTGTTTAAACCACGCTTAAAAGGTAGTCGCAAAAATGCTTTTTATGAAGATAAAAACTAACATAAATCAAGATCGAAATAAAAAAAAAATATGAGAAAGCATTCATCGCCAGCCATCTAATGCACAATACATGCTAGTGAATAGCAAAGAAACTTTAGCTGAGATTGTCTTAAAAATCAGATCAAAAACAATGAATCCTTTTCTTTTCCCACTATTACAGGAATTAACAAAAAGATGTTATTCAACGATGCCGGATGCATGGATGCGTGTCACGTGAAAGATTGACATGAAAAGCACCCTGAGATTGTTTTTATTTCAAAGACAAAAGAAAACAAAAGAACTTGCGATGTTCTGTTTTACGTTGGTGGAGATCGAAAAGATGTTAGAGAAACGAAACATAGAATGTAGAAAACCCTTTTTTGCTACGAAAAAAAAAAATTGGCAGTAGTTTTATGCTTTCATTTAATGGATGAAGGGAGATTAAATAAAGTAGTAGAACGTCATTTGTCAAAAACTCCATCTTAAAGTGCGTAGTTTTTAATCGAAACGTGCACTTTGATAAGGAATTATGTTTCTTCAATTAAAATCTATTTTAATTCTCTTTGTATCCATAGCACAATATTTCTTTTTATTCTCCATCGTAATGATTGCTGAACTTTTTCATTTTGTCATTCATTTTCTTTTACAAATTTCCGTTTTTCGTGTTCAACATTCTTCATTTCTATATATTTTTTCCTTCGTCTGAATATTTTCCTTCAATTTTTCGTCTTTTCTTTCATTTCTCCTTCTATATTGCTCCTTTTTCTGTGGTCAGTAAATTTTCTGATTAATTTTCATATTTTCTCTGGAGTTTCATTCATTTTACTTCTGATCGTTTTTTTACCTTGTATTTAATGTTTCGTATTTCCTTTATTTTCTCATTCTTTTTCCTATTTCTTTTTTTCTCTAAATTTCCCACTGTTCATTTTTAAAATTTTCTCGTTCTTGACTTTCTTCAAGCCACAACTTTTTTCCTCCTTTTTATTTTTTTGCATGTAATCTGTTTTAGTTTTCCACTTGTTTCCCGAATTCTTACAATATATTATTCCCCCTTCTTTTTCCCTTTATATTTGCTTTCTTTCTCCATTTTGTTACTATACTTCTTTTCTTACTGTCGTTTATTCTTTCTTCTTAATTCTTATGCAATTGTGTTTTACTTTTTTTCATAACTTACTTCTTTCTTTTTGTCTTCATTTCTATTTTCTCTTGAAATCATTTTCTTATCGTGCCATTTTTCGCTTATGTTAATTCATTCTGTTTTTCTTCCTTTTTCTTTTCCCTTCTTTCTTTCTTTCTTTTTCATTATTTTCTCTTACCATTAACTCTTTAATTTCTATTTCGCTTTCTCCATACATAATGTTTTGTGTGAAATGACAAAGATGAAATGACCAAGACAAATATTTGTCGCATTCAGTGAAACTTAAAATGGTTTCTGAACCTTTTAAAATCGTTAAAAGAAACATCCCTTGTGTATAATGATTTGGATCTGTGCCGAATCTAATCTTGTCTCATGCCATTTCAGTGAAGTTTTATTTTATATTTAACACTTGAAGTAAGATATATTCACTACTTGATATCTTTGAAAGAAAAATTTTAAATGAACATTTCATTCATAAATTACCTTGTTACAGTTAACGAAAATTTTATAAATAGATTCCAATTTTTGAAGGCCAAGTAAAATGCAAATTTCAAACATATTTCTGCACTACATAAGCTAAACCTGAAGAGTGATATTACCAAGAAATAGATAATATATAAAACAGATATTGAGATTTTAGTGCATAAATTACTATAAAGTAGAGCTGGGACTTTTTAATCCCAGAATTCGTGGGAGAATTTAGCTCAATTTTGCAACTATTCATATAGATTCCATAACATAGGTTTTACCTAATTAGCTTTTTCAAATGTTGAATGTATATCTCTATTTTCCTATCTTTACACTATATTAATTTTATCTTATAAATTGTCCCCTGTTCTGTCACCCATAAAATAAAAATAATTGTTTGTACGGAAAATAAGGATCTACTTACATCAAATCATCTTTAAATTAAGCGGTAACAGATGAATTATTGTTGAAGTTTTAAAAGTTAATATTAAAAATTAATTCCATACTTAAATGTAACGATCAATTTTAAGTTCTTCTGTAGTTTGTTGATAACTATTGCATCTATTCCTCCCTAGCTCTTGTGATGATGGCCAAACCAAGAGTCCTCCAGCGGATCTGGCTTAAATGCTGGCCAACAAACCATGCACTGAAATTTTGGATACAAAAGGAAAATAAGAGTTACTCCCCTTGAATCATGAATGCAACTATAATATATTAAGATATACTTTTAAACTTGCATAATCTGGCAACCCTGAATCTGCGCTCAACGGAAATCATTCCCTTCGCCTAACTTTTCTAGGGCTTTTGATTGAGCTATGTACCATTGTATTCGAACTAGCGAAGGAGTTGTTTGGACATACACACATGCACTAACACACATACAGACGCTATACTTCATATATAAGATTAATCTACTTGAAATGTAGTGTACAGTTATTTTAAAAATATCTTTAAAGACTGTAATGTGCGGTTTCATTTTAATCCACTTTTAAGCTTGTTTTCAGTTTAACTTATTCACTTTATGTGTTTCATCAACGCCGGTCGTTAATCAGAGAATCCATTTAGAATTTTGAATTCCACCCAGACAGGTATGCCTTCCTATCATACAGAATGCTACAACAGACATATATAATTTTTTATATGTCTACAAAATCAGTGATTAAAATTGTTTAAATGCTAAAAATGTATTTATTTCTGTATTGATGGAAGCAATGAAAATATATTTAAGATGTATACTTCTCAGCGAGTCTATAAAATGTTTGGCACTGTAATTTCAGCCCCATTACATCAATTGACAATTTCAATTAGTATAATGACTCGTGAATCTAATTTTTTTTTTAGATATCGTTTAAAATCCCTTTTCAGTTTCGATTCCAAGAGGAAAGTTTTCTTACATATTATTTTCGTTTAAAATGAAACCCAAGAATTCTGCAACATATTTGGCTATACCAAAATTTATCCTTACATGATCCTGAAAGAATTGCCCTAGAGTTTGCTTGAAGGCATTAGCATAAGAATATGTTCATTTTTATTTAAAGCATTCTTTTACTGGGTAAATGTCTACTCAATCAAAATTACCAACATGCATTGGTTGACCAGATCCATATGATAAAGGTTCATCACTATATGTAAAATTATGATAATCACTTTTTTTCTTATTCATTTTGTTGCATCCTTGATTGTTGCTGGAACACAAACAACTATCGTTACTAAGATTTTCAGTTCGTTTCCTACAGTTAAATTCGAGAAAGTAAAAAATTCTCTTTTTTTTTGTCTGTTGTCTTAGTCCTTCAATACAAATGACCATATACGAAACTGAGTACACTTTTTATCTTGTTTACCAAATTTTATACGAACATAGGCGTAGTAAGTTTTAAAAACATAGTTTATTCTTTTTCTTTCTTTTTCTTTCTTTTTCTTTCTTTCTTTCTTTGTGTTTTTCTGTAAAGACTTTCACTAAATATAGCAATAGAGACCACACAAAATTTAGATGTCTTAATAAGATAAGTAACATCACAATTTATCTTTATAATCATCAGTTAGTACCGGTCAGCCTTCCATAAATCATCAATTCTTTATGAGACATCACACTTTATACCAGGCAATGTAGCACCAGAAATTTCCCCAACATATACTGCATCATAATAAGCTGTCTTATATGCTAGATTAGTGATAAAATGTTATTTTAAATAAGGATTTAATATTAGGTAGTATTGAACTGAAACATATTGTAATTCAAATAGATTAATCCTATGTATCGAGTTAACTTATGGTGAAAACAAAAATATTATTTTATGATGTTATGTGAAGAAGAATATGGTTTTCATAATCGAAGTCAACACTGAAAACTACATAGCAGTCAACAGAAATCAATAAAACAACTTTAACTCTGTAATCACATGTAATTAATATCTTTATTACATGTACTTTAACCTTTGACTCAACTAGTACCAAGTATGATCCATTTATCTACAGTTACGTAACAATACTATCCCGAAATTACTGGGTTTTTTTTTCGTGAGAAAACCTGTTTAGATAGAAATTTTATACTCACTAAATCTAAAGGATTATTCCCTCATGTCATCAATAAATATCTACGTTATACGTTGTCGGAGATTCACAGGTAAATTGGATCCTTTTCTTATCTTCTTCTTCTTCTCCGTCTTTGCCCATTTCGTACGAGAGCGATCATGGTTCTCAACAACTTCCAGTGCTCTGTAGCACTTAGCAATAATTACTTATTTACTATTCCACGCAGTCCCTGTTCTAATATCCATTTGCAAAAGGTCATTAGGTAGATTCTTCGATGTTTTCATCCACCTCTTGTCTCCAGTATGTCACATGAGTGTCATATTCACCACCCACTCTTTCCTCATTGTGTGTATCAAAATTGTCAACTGATTCTAAGTGTCATTTTTTTTGTTTTCATTTACCTGTAAACATCCTCGATCCTAACATTTCCGTCCATCATATTCTCAACATCTTTCTCTCGTACCACATTTCTGTTGCTTCAAGTTACTTACACATAGGTGTCGACGGATTTTTGTGCCACATTTTCTGTCATCTGTTATAAAACTTACCACATAGTTAGATTTCTGACAT